AGAAGTCCAGAGAATAGTGCTAGAATCCACTATACCCAAGAAGAGCCTTCCTTCCAAAAGAGGAATGAAGGCAGTTAGGGATTCGTTGGTATTATCTCAGAAACGGGTCCACACATCGTTTATGTACAGTTAGTGTCTGCAGAGACTGTTGGCTGTCCTCGGTTTGAGAATCTCAATAGATTAGCATTGTGTAAGGTTGTTGCCTTTGGCAATGACACTCGTCATCATGAACAGAACGTGCTCTGTGTGTGTGTATGTATATGCTCATTTACATACTTAAAAAAATTACTTATATTGGTAGAAAGGTTAAGCACTTATGTCGGAGTGTGAGTGTAAAAAAAAAATACTATGGGTAGAGTTTTTTTTTTCCACAGGCTAACAGTTATTAATATCTAATAGTAGGAGACATGAATAATCGCTTGCCAATAGTCCCATTTAACTCAGCTGCTCAGGTAACCAGAAAAAAAGTCAATACAGCATATTTTCTTATGGTACCTTGGAAATAGTTTTATAATCCATCAGATGTGAACTAGTATTCTGTGAATAAACCTTTCTAGGGAGCACACTTTCTGTGGCTGTGGTAAATACTGAAGATGAAAACTAAATTCACCAGATAATCTCTGTGAGACACATCACTGATGTTTGAGGCAATATTTACATGTTTTGCAAATATTACATTCCCCCCCCACCTGCGATTGCACAATTAGTCTCGGCCTTTAGCTCCTATTAGAGACCAGCAGTCCGTTTCAGATGATTCCCTTCACCTGAGAGAGTAGTGAGCCAATATAAACAGTACATTTGATGTTTCTTTCTAACTGACTGGCTTCATACTAATGGTATTCTGTTTACTACAAGCTGTGTAAGAGCAGTGAGAAAACTAGTGGAAATTAGAATTTACTACCAGGATTTATGTTTTTCACTGGAACCTACAAAAGCATATCATCACTGCTGTGAGGATCGACAGGGGGTTTATTCACCAGAGAGAAATCATTTAGTTTGTGTTGTCTGCATGATGACATATAGTACAGCTAAACTTAAATGGATTACGAAACGGGCCTACCGCAGGTCCAGGGGCCCAAGAGTTCGATGGGAGGGGGGTCAGAGACTCTTTATGAACTGACTGTTTGAAAGCAATAGAGCTCAGTTAAGACTCAGAAAGGTGGAAAACATCCACAAACTGACATCAAAAATGACCATAAGAGACATTAAAGCACTGCAAAGAGACACAATGTGTACAAAGAGACAAAAAATGAATCTAATATGACAAAACTACCAAAAAGAGAGACTACAACTGCAGATGTTGCATTGTTTTTGTCATTTTCAGCATCTTTTATTCTGGGGGTCCTACAGAAGCCTTTAGTTGCATCACAGGATTTTAAAAAAATTATTTAATCTCAGCCGCATTCACTGCCAAGAGTCAACAGAGACGACATCAGAGAGATCTGACGGGAGGATGTGAAGGCCGGAGCAGCGATTGTGAAACAGGAGAGGGAGGAAACAAATGGATGCCTGGATAACAAGAAGGAGTTCAGCAGAAACTAGAGCATCGGTTAGAAATATAATCAGGCATTGTTGGTGAAGGCCATAAAAGCAATGGCATGGAGGGAGGGACTGCTTGTACTTAGACACACCCTGACGTTCTGCAGAGCTAATAATTATTGTCTTCAATCCTTAAATCTTCCTTCTGCTTCCCACAGGCCCTTTCTGCTTTTATGAGTCTCCACTAACACAGTTTCTGAGTTTCCAGGGTTTTTAAGTCCAGTATGCAGAGGTAGCCAGTAGTTTTTTAAGTGCTACTGCATGTTTTCATCTTGTGGCTTTCGTCTTGGCTTTACCACTTGAGAGATTTAATTGTTATATGTTGAAATAAGCATGGAAAAGGAACTGAAAGGAGGTTTTCCAAGAAACGTATCTTGAGAAATTGACCAAAGTGCAGCACTGGGTCAGAAAGCCTGAAATAGAGGACAACACCATGGTAGTGGCCACAAGCTGGCAGTCCACTTTAAATGTGCACATGATTGATGTTTCTGTGGTTCAGTGCTTAAAGATACACACTCTGTCCTATGTGTTTTTATTTTTATCTCCTCTACTGTGTGTGTGTAGTTTAAGTTGTAACAGCAGCCTCACTTGATATCAACAACAACAACAAAATCCAGAATTTAAGTGACAGCAGAACAGAACATGATGGAAGATGATAGAACAAGAAGAATGAAGTCATAACCTTTGGTTTATTGTATAAACCTTTCAATTTCCATCCATCCATTATTTATACCACTTATTCCTGAATAGGGTTGTGGGGCGGGGGTGGGGGGGTTAGTCTATCACAGGGCTACCTCTCAATTTGCAATTTAAAATGTTATAAGTTGAAAATAACACTGTGAGCCACTAATGTGGATAAAATTAAATTTTTATCTACACCTCTTCAGCGTAAAAGCTTGAGAAATACTAAAAAAATATATACATCTAAAAATGAAATCAAAAGTGATAGTGTGCCAGTAAGTGTACACTGCAGAAAACAAAAATAAAGTGCCTTGCAGAGAGGGAAGCGGTGAAGTGCTGGGTAGGAAGGAAAAAGTTCAGTGAGTAAGTGGTTGACCTGACCTTTGTGAGTCAGTCACAGTGTAATCTCTTTCTGTGTGAGCTGCTCTTGACAGAGATAAACACCCTGGTTGGTGTGAGCTGAATGCCTCAATGGGAGGAGTGCTGAGGAATGTGAGCCTGTAACCCAGTCTGGCTGAGACATGACAAGTCCCTGTTTGTCCATGTTCTCCACAAGCAGAGAAACTGACCTCATACTGTTTGTGTGTCTAACTTGTCTGCACACACATTATTAGTTAAAACAGGGAAGGGTTATAAATGGGACACAGGTGTGTTTAAGGTGTGATTAACATATCGTCTAATTATAATTCTGGAATATTATGCAAAGATTTACTAATGGATATAACATATTGGGCATTTTTAAATCTAGATGTACATGAAATCCATATCTGGACTTACTGATCAATTTAAGAATCACATGATGATTCTCTACAATATTTAGGCTTTAAAACCTGCTCGTATACTGCACTGCATTGTATCTAAAGGTAATGAAGAATATGCCACAGAGTAGTTGGCACTTTTTTATTTTAATACACTGATCAGCCATAATATTATGACCACTGACAGGTGAAGTGAATAACACTGATTATGTTGTTACAATGGTACCTGTCAATGTGGTACCATTAGGCACCAAGTGAACATTCAGTCCTGGAAGATGATGAAGCAGGATGAATGGGCAGCGTAAGGATCTGAGTGACTTTGATATGGGCCAGGCTGTGATGGTCAACGACTGGGTCAGACCATCTCCCAAACAGCAGGTCTCGTTGAATTTTCCCAGTAGACAGTGGTTAGTACCTACCAACAGTGTCTAAGGAAGGACAAAATGAACCGGCGACAGGGTCGTGGACATCCAAGGCCCACTGATGAGGTTGACCTACTGTAGATTAAACTTTTGAATTTCATTCATCCTTTTTGAAAGATTCCATTTAGTTTGAACCTTTTGTTAAAATGGTTAAAAATGAGAAACACTACATTTGTCTCTATGAAGAGAAACATCCAGAGGCTATAACGGTGATATCACACCTAGAGTGGGGAGGCTGTTGAATTTGTCTAAAAGAGTTTCTCTAACCTTTCCTCATGAACACTTTTCACTTCTTTTACATACCTTTTTTCACCAAATGGTTGACACGGTTGTGCTCTTCCTGACAGTAGAACCACAGAACCCAGACGATGCACAGTGAACTGCAGAGTGACACAAGCGCCAACCAACTGTTACCCTTACTCCTGTGTACACCCCGTTAGGCCGGTGGTCATAATGTTATTGCTGATTGGTGTATGTCCCCACCTAAGGAATGATTACACAAGATAATTAATCAAAGTATTGAATTCTTCATTTTACTAAAAGGTGTTATAAATACCGCCCACAAGAAAAAGGTGGTGACTTATCGCTCTTGTCAGAAATAGAACATATTAACCAGCAGAAATCAGAAATTATTTGCAATCCTTCCATCTATTTATTACCCGTCCCGCTTGTCCTGTAGAGGGCCTCAGGGAGCCAGTCCCAACATTGGGCAAGAGGCGGGTTACACCCTGGACAGGTGACCAGTCTATCCCAGGGCCGACACATAGAGACAACAACTCGCTCTTACATTCACGCCTACAGGCATTTTAGAGTCGTATTTTTAATTATTTTCCATGCAGATATTGTAAGTGATTAGTGGATATTCTGTGATTCTTTGGCATTAATGCATTAGTTGAAGAGCTTTTCACTCCCAGTCTGGATTAACTGACCTGTTGGCATTCACAGCTGTTTGGGGAATTAGTATAATCTGTCATCCACCACCTGTCTGTCTGAAACTGCCCTTCAGACAGACCAGTCATATGTGACGTTAGCTGGAACACCTGGCGTCACAAATAATGAGGTTAAGTCAGCAAGCAGCGCAGACAGCTGCCACCAGCTCTCCTGAATGTGGTCCCAAAGGGCTGTGATGTCATTTAGTGTAGTCACATAAATTCAAGCATGCCTATAAATGTTTTTGCAGTTGCTAAAGTATGATCAAGGTCTAGCTTGTTTAGAAATGAGGGGCGGCGTTCATAGATTGTTGGCTCTCAGTCAGTGTCTGAGCAAAGAACTGCCCAGAGTTAAATACACCATAGCTCTTTCAGTTTCAAGACAAGCAGTGTTTAATTTTACTGCGTAAACCTGGTGTCGGAGGTTGAGTTGGAATAAGAGAAACCTAGAGAGCAGAGTCTGTTCATACAAAACTCTGATAAAGTGTCTATGCTAAATGCACAGTCATTTCAAAAGATTGTGAAGACGCTGGTAGTTAAAGGTGGCATGAGAGTTTTCTCCTAACAACTGTCATGCTTTCATTCTCAGGAGCAGAACGCTGCTGCCTCACAGTCATGAGTTCTCAGACCAGCCTGGGCAGGAGCATGCTGTGTGAGTTTCCACAAACCCTTGACTTGTCTTTTTTGGCTCAGTGTGTATTTGTTCACACGGGAGTCATATCCTGTGCTAATTGTCTGTGGTACGCATGTGGTTTATTTTCAGTCCAAACCATAAATGATGACCTGAACGCATCGCTGGCTACAGCAGACGAGTTATCCCGAGAGTTTAACTCCCTGCTGAAGGAAGTATCTCCCAGTAACAACAGTACAACATCTGCATCTCAGGTACACACAGATATACGTAAGCACATACACACACACCTTGAGCATTGTTTTTCTCCTTTTAGCTGTTAGCTTGCAACCATTTCTAACAGTTCTATTCTTTGTACTATTTGAAAGAGCGTATACATGCGAGGGTTTCCCTCTTTAGTGAGTCAAAGTCTCACACCCTCTGGTATGACACTAGCATTAGGGTTTCCATATTCTTAGCTAAATGTGTAGTTACTAAAATAAGTTATTTTGTTAATATTCATCATAAACCTACTCCATGAGTTTTAGCCTTTGGCTCGCTTTTAAAGACCCATGGATGCAGCAGCTGTTGAATGTTAACATAATGATCTTTGTTAAAATGACACAGTGGCAGTGTTCTTTAACAGATTTCTGACATTTTTCCTGCAGACTAGGACTGCATTCACTAAGGAGAAGCCTCAGTTCCCTGAGCTGTCCAACACCTCCATCACTACACGGGAGTCGAGTGGCAGCAGTAATGTCAGTTTCAGTTCCACGCCTTTCTCCTCGAGCTCAACATCTTTGCGTCCCATGGACTCTGGACTTTCCACTAGTATAATTTCACCAGCCTCCCCTGTCTTCTCCACAAACCCGCTCTCATCCCCCAAGATCAATGTGGAGCCACTCTCTCCACTTGCTCGAGCTGGATCCGACAGCTACTCGTACAACCAGCGGAGTCCCAGACACTCACCACAAACAGCAAGGCGTAATCCCCTCTCTGGTTATGACAGGAGCCCGCGAGGTTCAGCCAGTTACATGGATAGGAGCCCTTCTATGATCCCCCCACCTGTTTCTTTTGACCATGCTTCTCGGTCTGCTTACTCCTCCAACCTGCTGAGCCCATATGACAGCATCCAGGCGGGCCGCCGGTCACCTCGGCCGGACAGAAGCCCTTCTCCTTTGCCTTCCAATTATCCAGTGTCCAACACACTCCCACGAAATTTTGGTTTCAGACAACCTGGTAAGTGGCTGTAGTTATGTAGCAGTAAGAGTGATAGATCAGGGACAACTAAATATTTTGTTATTGTGGGAATAAAATAACTTTATTCCCATTACAGTCATTTTTTAATTAATATCACTTACAAGCTGGGAAAGATTGGTATGCTGCATGGGTGGATTTACAAACGGGTCTGTCGGGCACTGGCCCAGAGGCCCAGAGGTTCAGGGAGCCCCTGGACAAAAGAACCATGAAGGAAGTCTTAGCTTTTTTGTTGGAAAGTCAATCAAATAACTATGAAACTATTATAAAAAGCTACAAAATGAGAAAAAACATATGCAAGGCAACGTCAAAGACAAACAATACCACTAAAAAGAGACACAGAATGACTAAATACAGAAAGACCCCAAAGATTATGCAGAACGACGACTACAAAGAGATTGAAGACAACTAAAAAAACTAGACACAAAACAAGTAAAAATAGGTGCAAAACTACTATAAAATGAGAAAAATTAGCATAAAAAAACACAGTGACTATAAATCACTAGTATACAGTTTATAGTCCTAGTGCTGTGGTAATCAACCCCAAGCAGTAAGTTTTAATAGTATAGTTTTTCACAAAAAACGCACCCCCTTTTCAGACAGTTTTTAAAAAAGCTATTCAAATACAGTAAAAAGTGCTTTGTGTCACCATGCCAACCCACCCAGAAGAGTTTAATTACTCTGAGTTTAATGTCACAGTGCTCTCAAGGTTTCTTCAACTGTACAAATAAGACACCTTAGAAAAATACTGGCATTTAAAGTACTGCTCTTCTAAAACTTACATGGAATCTCTCATTCTTTTTAGCACTTTTTTGTTTTTGTGGTCTGTTTTTCTCAGTTTCTTACTCTCTTCCTCAGAAGAGGGTGTGCAGCGGCAAAAGAGTCCTGGCAAGTGGAATGAGACAGATCTGGACATGTCCTATGAAAGGAAACCTCACCACACCTATGACAGTTGGTCTTTTTCTTTTATTTTGGAATTAGTCTTGGACAAACGATTTAGACTGTCAGTTCTTTGCCTGTGCTTTGTGTGGTCTTGTTATTTTAACACAACATTTTACCGGAGTGCCGGCGCCAGCCAAACAGTGGCTGGAGAGAATCCAACCTCGATGGCCCGCCTCCAGCCCCAAGTCACAGAAAGGTGGGTGGTGTTAACAGTGAGGCATTCAAATAGGCACTGTGAGAGATTTGTTTGTGTGGCCCAAACTCTAAATTACAAGTAATCCCCTTTCTCAATGCCAAGTGTTGAGCCACACCTCATTATCTCCTTGGCCTAAAAAAAAAATGTTGCAAAACCCCATCTACCAAAAGCTCTGCAGGACATAGCCAGCGCCATGTTTGTGTCTTGTTAAGTGAAGTTGTACCAGGAAATAGTCCCACATCCAGGAGACACAAAGCAATATTATTATCCCACTGGAGTCTTGTATTTGTTCCACCTGCTGAATAGAAGTTCATTTTCCTTTTGGCTCTCTATTCTACTATTTTGTACTGACTAGGTTTATCAGAGCATTTTGCAGTAGTTTACAAGTGGTTGCCTAAATGTTGTTAAAGTGATTAGGCTGAGCCATACCATTAATTTGCTAGCCGTAAAATGTTAAAAATGAGCTAAGAGGCTCCATAAAGCTGCAGAATTAACAACACGTCTTTGGCACAATGAGAGACCTTCACGTTACAGTATGTCTGTTTCAGTGGATTAGTGTTACCAAGAAATTATCCTTTTTTTTTTCTTCTTCTTCCTTTCCAGGATCTTCGCTCACAACCTCTCCAGTTTTCCCATAGTTCTCTTCCTCGCAACACACGTATAACGATACCGCCAGATGTTTCATCCTCAGACCACTCCCCTTACTACCCTCAGCCCATCATCTCTCGCATTTCTATTCCCCCAACTTCTTCTCAGTCCCATCAGCGCAGACCCATCCCTCTCTCTGTCATCATGCGTCTCCAAAACCCCCAGTGGGGAGCAAATTCAACCCTCCCACCTAGAGTCCTGGGAGGAGAAGGGGACATGGCATCTTACCAACCGGCTGTACCCATCCCAAGGGAATTCTTCCGCCAACCTGTGCTTCAGCCACAACAAAACCCACCTGAGCAGAGACAGCCAACTATATACAGTGACGGTAAAACACATCTAACATCTGCACTCCAGCACTCTCTACGTTTACAGGATCTTTGTTCAGCTTGCTTTGCGATACAAATTTTGTGTGCTGTTCATCTCTGCAGTGCTGAACCCAGGGGATATAGATGCAGAGTTAGAGCGGCTGGACTATGATCCTCACATGCCTGTGATTTTGGAGAATCCCAGTATGCCAGAGGGTGGTAAGGAGATCGAGCAGGATATGTCGCCTGCTTCTCGGCCCCTGAGCCCTACCAGGCTGCAGCCAGTCGTTGCCCTTGAGGCCCAGACTGAGCAGATCCCTGACCTGGAGGAGGTGCTCCGCATCCGGGCAGAAATCCCCAGGGCCCTGAAGAGACGGGGTTCTGTGGACCAGTCACAGCCCCTGAAGAAGGCCTCACACTACCAGCCAAACCAGTACAAAATCATCATTGGCAAGCTCTTTCACAGGAAGAACAACCCCCAGAGGGTGGAGCAAGGTAGCGAGACTAGCAGCTCCTCAGATGGAGAGGACTGTGCTACACCTCCTACCCCTTTACCTGCATCTCAGACATCTTCACTGATTCCTCTTGACTTCAGAGTAAGACATGGGCTCACAGATCCTGATAATGTAATAGTCACAAGCAGTTTTTATGTTACAGCTGTGCATTATCTGGCAGCAATTAGTATTATAGAAGGGCTGATGTTACATTGTACTTTAAATGGTGAAAGACATTCAGGTGTTTTATTTTATCCAATTAAGCATCTTGTTTGTCCCTTCAGGGCTACCATTCCATTCTGCGGCGGTCCAAACAGGAGCGCAAACGTTCCAAGGCTCACGCTCGACTCAGCCCGCATGTCCTGCTGCTGGACGGAGCATTGGTCGGAGAACTGGAGACCGTGCAAAGAGCTCTGCAGGAGGTGTGTGCCCATACTAATACACATACTGTGAATACTGTCTCTGCCACAACTACAAGGGTAAAATGGAGTTTTAAAAATATTTCAAACAACTAAATAAGGTCTGCTTCTTTTTTGCCTTGATGTTATAACTCCTAATTCTGTTTTAGGAGGGTTAAGCGCATTTAAATTGGATAAAGCCAGTTACAACAGACATAAACAGAAAAACTCCTTTTGTTTATCATCATACTTTCTTGATATGTAAGAAAATGGGTAAGTAACTTACTTTCAGCTAATGAATCCACTCTGTGTAAAATGTTTTTGACAGATGAGTGACCCTAGTCAACCGAATGACGAAGGCATCACTGCACTTCACAACGCAATCTGTGGAGGCCATTATAATGTGGTGGACTTCCTTGTTCGCGCTGGAGCTAACGTCAGCGCACCAGACAGCCACGGCTGGTAAATATCAACTTTGATTGCAGTGTATTTATCCAGCTTATTTTTAAACAGGTCTTGGTATGTTGTGTGAAATCAGGAGGTAGTGTATTGTATTTGGTAAATGTGCAATATATGTTGGTTTTTAAATGGTGAAAGCTCATGATGAGTAATGCAGTTTCCATGAATGTGGATTAATACATTTTACTTCTACCTCTCCGCTCCCCTTTGGCCTCCTGTCAAGGTTTTGTGTAAGCCAGCACATAAAAGGTGGCATGAGAGATTCAGAGTTTGCCAAGGTGGAGGTTTTGCTCATGGCACCGTGAAGGTCATATTAAGTCTTGATGTATCTGATTATTGCATCATTTTGGTCCCAGGACTCCACTGCATTGTGCAGCCTCTTGTAACGACCGTCCTCTGTGTGAGTTCCTGGTGAGGAACGGAGCTGCTGTCATGGCTGTCACGGAGAGTGATGGTGCTACCGCCCAAAAGAAGTGTGATCCTTTTGCTGATGGGTTTGAGGAGTGTGATAGCTTCTTGAGGGGTGAGGCAGCTGCGCCCACACATGCACACCCTGTGACACAGTGTTTGTAACTGCTACACCTCAGTCATAATGTAGTGAATCAAAAGATGATACTATTTGACAGTTTGCTCCTCTCCTGCACTTCTGACCTCTTACTCATTGCCACATGTTTGAGCTTAATCTCCCTTTAGTCATTCACATCTATGCACCTAATATAGCTGATGCCCAAAACATTAAGATTAGCAGTAGTATCTAAAATTCTCAGTCAGAGTAACTTAAAGGGAACAGATAGCGTTCTGGTGCCTTACTTAAGGACACTACAATGGACCACATTGTCAAGGCAAGCTTTAAGAAGTGTTGGATTTTTGATATCCTAAAATATGACCATTTCATACCAAATCTACATTACTGTCAGGGTGGAAAAGGCTGTTTACTGCCTTTTTATAAACACATTTAACTACAACTTTGCATGTACTGACTGGCAGGGGAAGGTCTCTGGGGAAAATGATCATGTAAGAAAATAAAGCATTGACAGTTTAAAATACTAAAGAATTTCAATATAAAACTATGAAATGTGCTTCCTCTATATTAGATATTTAATTTATATTGTAACCTGTAACTGTTTGATCAACAAACCTTTCTTTGATCACTAGTCCTAACTACTACTTTAACATGTATATATCCTGTCTTCTTTGTAATATCAGGAGTGGAGGAGGCCATGGGGGTGGAGAACAGCGGGGTGCTGTATGCCCTGTGGAGCTACCCAGCACAGGCAGCAGATGAGCTGGGCTTCAAGGAGGGAGACATGGTCACTATCCTGCAGAAACCCGAGGGGTCGGACTGGTGGTGGGCCTCGCTCTGTGGCAAAGAGGGATTTGTTCCAAAGAACTACTTTGGGGTAAGATACCACTTCCTAATGAGAGGCTCATCAATTTAGCCTTTACTTCCTGAATTTCTTACCACAATGCATTTTGTAATGCAGAACAAAAACATGAATTTGAATATGTTTGGTTTTGTTTTTAATTTTTCAGCTTTTCCCGAAGGTTCGACCAAAATCTCTCTGCTAAGCGGTCTCTTGATGTTTAACCCTGGTCAAACTCGTGCACTGTCTCAAAAACTCAGTTACAGCTTCACACTGCTTTTTGAAAGGACTGAGTATGTCTGTCTTGGTGCAGGGAATGAGAGATGGTGTTGATCTGTCAGTCAAGGAGAGTTGAAGGCTCAGTATTCATTACTGACAAGGATCATTTTTTATAGAAGATATCATGTCTACTTCCTCTATTGTAGGATATTTTGTCTAGCAAAGCTGCAGCTCTGTACTGTGCTAAACTCTCTGTCAGTCTACGCTTGTTGGTCCAAAGGTTACTAAGGGACCATATGTTGTACCATTTTATTAGTACTGTTCCAGTCTGAAGTTGTCTGGTTACTCATCAAACATTCGCTGTTGGTGTAGCTCAGTGTAGCTGTGTTCTGTCCACAAACATGACCCAAGATTTTACGCTGCTTATGTAAACGAATCTTCTTTAAAAGAGGATATAATGTGTTTTCTGTCACAATGAAACTGGTTGTTGTATGGTTGTGTATTTTAGAGTGGTAGAACAAGTATTCGGTCATGCATCACTTTTCAGATTAACACTTTTGTTGCTGGGGCTTGCTGTACTGTATTACACCTGTAATCCCTTCCCAGGGGCACACAGTGAGCAAATAAATGAATAATAAATGAATCACATTTTCTTGGGTTATGCTCATGTGTTTGTGGCTTAAAATAAGAATGAACTGCCCTTGACTGACCACCAGATGACACTGTATATTCAAGAGTATATATTCAGCAGCATCATTTTACAATACTACCAGTTAATATAAGTAATATGCAGTATCCTCTGTGTAAATGTTCTTATTACTTTCGTTCTTCTTGAAGTTCTCTCTTCTGTTGCACCAGCACAATGGGAGGAGTTTTTACAGTAGCAATACCACCGTGTAAATGTCCTGCATCCAAAATGTTATTTAAGTAAAAGCAGGGTGGCACAGTCATGCAGTGGTTAGCACTCACACGAAGAAGGTTCTGGGTTCGAACCCCACAAAATCTGTCTGTGTGAGTTTACATGTTCTCCCAGTGGTTCCATGGAGTTTTGCCAGCTTCCTCTCACAGTCCAAAGACATGCAGCTTAGGTTGACTGGTGACTCTAAATCGCCCATGTGTGAGAGTGGTTGTCTGTATCTGTGTCAGTCCTGTGATAGACTGGCACCCTGTCCAGGAGCATCCCGTGTCTCACCCAGTGTCATTTAGGATTGGCTCCAGACACTCTACTGGATAGCAGGACAATATACATGATGGATGGATGTATTATTTTTCTTTGTTTGTTGAAAATGTATGTAGGTATAGCTGTGCATGTGTGTTTGGTATATACGTAAAATGAACCAGGGCAGGAATCATGACAACCTTGCACAAGAGTGACTACTGTGATTCTTCATGTGGAGTTAGCTGTGCTGCTGTGCACACATGTTATGGCTTAAAAAATGATTTATCACAACTAACTCAAGCCTTTTAATCTGACTGTATGGTATTAAGAAAACACCAATGCTTCTATGCTTAATCACAGTGCCTGAGAATGATTCAGTGTTTTTATTTAATTCATTTTACATAGATTACAAAAGCATTGTGATGATAATGATGATACAGACACATTCTGGTTTACACGCCCACATTTTTGTAGCTGAGGTGAGCTAATGTCTTGTTTCACGTTTTCTGGTGAATAATTCAGGTGGTGTAAGTGAACTTTCCTCTGGCCTGTGGCAGCATACGTAATGTTCTGCTGAAACACAATCTCATCCTCTTGGCAAAGAAAAGGAGCAAGCACTGCAAAAACACCCATGTTAAGCCTTGGTTCATAAAACATTGTTTTTCTTTATCCAGGTCGACACTACCAAACAGTTGAGACTTGGATTGTTTTAATATTATTCACCAGGTTTACTGCTTAGTCCCTGAATGGGGTCACGGGGGGGGGCTGGAGCCAATCCCAGCCGGCAATCGGGCGAAGGCGGGGTACACCCTGGACAGGTCACCAGGTTTACCACTTCATCAAATTGAAAAGTCTCAGTTGCATAGAGGGAATAAAAGTTCTTTCATGTTTTCTGTAAAGCTGCTCTTTGGTGTAGATTATTTAAAAAATGTCATCTTTTTTGGTTTTTCACTTTTTCTAGCTTTTCTCTTTTTTTTCTGTTGTGAAGCACTACAAAGTTTGCCTTCATATGTTTAAGAACTATTTGAATAAAAATGAATCTGAGAAGGAATGTCTGTAATCCTTGTTTTTATTTGATGTAAGTGCTCACAAGTCATAGATCTAATATGGTGAGTAGACTTAGGTTTTGACTGTCACAAATCAAATGTTTTGGGAACTGCTTATTTAAATGACAATGAATATTTGCTGCCGATAACATTTATTTCCATTTGCAGATGTAATCCAGTACTACACATACCCCAAGCTTTTACATTTGTGCGGTTTCTTGTTGAGTCAAAATTTAAAAATGACTCTCGCTCTGGGATTTACACTGTATATTGCAGTGCTGCTGGATTAGAATGCAGAGGTTTTCATTTTCCTGATCTCTGAGTCTCAGTCATGATCCTGCCTACAACCACAAATGCACAGTTTGCTTGGGTCAATAGCCACAAACATTCAGTCATGTTCAAGCCTGTCTCCCTGTCTTTGACAGTGCTGTGCTGGAGAAATTGTATCTGTGGCAGTTTTGTGTTGAACTGTGTTCAAGCAAAACTCATTTGATGCTTCATTGAAAACCCATTATGCAGTAACCATGATCCACCATTACTGATAGAGTTTGCAGCCAACTGGGTCAGGGTGGGGGAGGAGTGATGCTATTTGCCCAGTCTGCAGCATAGTTGCCCAATTAAACTTTTCTCATTCTCCACACTGCATTCAATTCCACCTCACTGCCCTCACCACCCCACAACACGCACAGTGTGATTTCAGACAGGCTGACTGTTATCAGAGCCAAACTCTTTGACCCATCAAGGTCTGTCAACCTCAGTGGACACAACAGGCCATCCTTCAACTGCTGTGGTCAAATAAACACAGAGAGAAAATGGGCTTTACTGGCATGAAGTAACAGATACAGAGCTGTGAAGGCTCTGCAGCCAAAATGGGGCCACGACAGTGACATAGCAGGATGGGGAAACTGAATGAAGAGAAATAATAAGTGTGATAGAAAGAATGTCTGAGCAAACCACACAATTCTGTTTGGTGGGATTCCTGCCAGAGGAAGGACAATCTATGAACCACTCAAGCATTTCCACTGTGCTTTATTATACCTGCCCTGATTGATTAAAAAGTAGAATAGATGTTAGAATTGGAAATCTGATGCTAACCAAAGGAAAGGGAAAAATATCTAAAAGGGATATGGATGGGGGTGTGTGTGAATATGGAGTTGAAGTTAAACATTCAGAAACAAACAGCTATCCATACACAGACACAGCTGATAACTTAAACACTGTTTATAATGCCTCTATCTTAAGATGGCAACCAGCAACAGTTAAGCTTCATTGTTTAGGAACCACAACTGTGTGTTTTTGTGGCACAACATGGATGACAGATGCAGTCACATATGCCCTGTCTGCTTTCCAACAGTCCAGACCAGAACTGTACTGATGTCTCCTGATAGTTGAGAGTATTGTATGTGACAGCTAGAAAACTGCCTTGAGGGAGTGTGTGCATGCCTCACTCTCACTCAGAAGCTGAGGTGAGCAGACAGGTCTGTGGCCCTGAAGAAACAGGGCTTTGCTGAGCCTGTGCTCTGCACTAAGGGCACACACTGGGGAAACAATCATAGTCAAATTTACAAAAACAGGAGGGGAGTCAGCCTGAGAAAAATGTCCAGTCCACTTCTGTTCTTTTCTTACTTCAGCTGGCCATGCTCCTACTCTGGGCTTCTGTGGAGTTATGAATAATAGAGGAATGCTTGTCCTTCCTCACTCCCCTCTTTAATCAGAGCTTGCCTGGCTGCCCTGTTCTCTGCCACTCCTCACTTTAATAAATCATTCAGGGCCTCAAGACGACAAGTCCGTTAGAGCAGGCTGAGCAAGGGCCAAGCTTGTAAACACCCTGCTGTCTCTTAGTACATCATCCACCTCCTTTACCCCACAGTCTTTTCTCACTCTCATCTCTTCTTCCTCTGGGTGTCCTGCACTTAGTGAGACTCTTCTGCCCTCTTCGCATTTATTTTCCCTCTACCCGACAAATCAAATTGGCAAAGAGTACTTCTCCTTTTCTCTCCTCCTCTCTCCTCCTCTTTGCCTCTCAGACCGTTTCACTCTGTCAAGGTTCAGCCCATTATATATTGTTCTCATTCCTCATCTCTTTCCTCCTCCTCCTCCTCCTCCTCTTTTATGCCTCCCCATCCCTGTCAGAGCAGAAATTCCTGTCGGGGATGACATCACGTAAATGTGCCCCAGTGGTTACTGGTGCACAGGGGTGTCATAGAAGGATTGGATACAAAGAAATGCTGCAGGATGTCCTGCCCTCCACGCTTACACTTAAACTTACACCCTTACTGCACAACAAAATGAATAAACCATTTTGCTATTTGAGGTTTGAGAATGGACTAATGGATGTAAGGACAACAACATTTGAATCCTTGGCTGTCAGGATAATGTGAAAATGATAACATTTGCCTTTGTGCAAAGCATATAGGCACAGTTCCACCTGCAGATTCTCTTAAACTGTTATCTATAATGTTTAATATATCCAGGAACTTGTATCCAGTAGTTCTATTTCACATAGTGAAATACATTCACTTCCTATATCCCCCAAAATCCATTTTGACAGCAACTCTGGTGCATGTAGTTCTGTGGGCTGCACACTGTGTATGTAGGTGATAGGAGCAATTCAACAGTGTAGTGAGACTAAATGTAATCCCCATGATTAAAATCGTCTGTGGCAGAATTGCATTCTGGTCCAGTGCACCTGTTGTCAGTGGCAAAGAAATGGTAGATTTTTGTTGTTCTCTGTTCTCCTCTTTTCAACATCACCCACTCTCCTCCCTCCTCCCTTTATCTGCCAAAAAGGCTGAGACCCTCATCCCACCCTCCACCTCTCATCCTCTCTCTTTGGTGTTTCTCCCTGTCTCC